GTCTTGCGATATTGTTTGATCACTATCCCGCAAAGAAAAGAAGATTGCAGAGAGTTTCTATCCTATTGTGCGCGACGCACTGTACTACAACCGTATAATCGACTGCGAGGGAGATAGCTTCGTGGAGGACGAACATACGGATCCTTTCTGGGCATCTGAAGATAACGATGAATCCCTTCAGAGCATCTAGATTTGAACAATTTCTTTCTTAATCCTGGTATTCAGCAGGTTACCTTGACACTCATCCAGACGAGTTCGAGAGTTCTCTCCAATATTGCATTACATATCATCTGGAGGGAATCTGTGAGAATAATGGTTGCAGCGAAATTCTTTTTATTCGCAGCTCACACTGTGAAGAACTTTTTTGCTCTAACCATTTTGTATTGGGATATCACACTGTGCTCGCTTAAAGGCACAACCTGCGATAAATCGCAATCACAGATAGTGCATTAGGGGTTCGCACAGAGACGACAATGTGCTGTGTAACTCGGTAATGAAAAAAAGGCAGAAAAAACTCGTCACCCGCCTTACAATTAGATAGAACCCCATTTCAAGCCACTTTGTACGTGCCCAGTGAGCTCCATCTCCTACACTACGCCCTCCACACAGCTTATTCACTATAAGAACTCTACGACCTTACAAGTGAGCTTACGATTTTCATGCTTTTTCGTCCTGCAGCTTCGTTTCATTGGATGATGGGCTTTGAAGGCGGAGTCTGGAGACCGAGCCACTGGTAAAGGAGTGTCCTCTTTGGAGCTATATTTCGTTATAGCACCCCTCCCTAACAATTTTTTCGCCGTAAACCAGTACAAGGTTGTTCCTTGCGGACCCTACCCTCGCAACACCATATTTCCAACTCTATTCCTGATCGTGGACCAAGCCTTTGATGTTTCCCATTAAAGACACTTACCGCGATAAAGTGGTCCTCAAAATGAATTCGTGCTGTTTGGAACCCTCTACGCCTTGACGAAGATGATAGCACTTTCATCCCTCAATATGGCGCGATGAGGAAGTTATAGCGATTTCCACAAGAAAAAAACAAAAAAAAGTGGCTCGCTAGGCTCGCTGAGACGGTAGGTGGACGAGGCGTCCGGTCCCGAGCTGCTTCCGTCCCTTTAACGCCCGCGCGGCGCGTCTCGTGCGCGGCCCTTCTGGCACTTAGCCAAAGTTGGTTTATAGCTGTTTATAGCTGGCTGGAAGCGCAAATTCTTAGAAAAGCATACATAGGATAAGAGAGAGGCAAGAAACTAAAGAAGGCAGTGAAGGGAGGATTGAAGAAAAAGCACGGGGAGATGAGTATCACGTACGAAAGTCTGTTTCTCCCGCTTGTTGCTTAGAGCATCTGCATCGCGCGTAGCAGGAGAGAGAGAGTATACAGAACAGCATGAATACTGAGAAGAGCTCCTCTGTTCTCCCCAGCTCCACTCTGACAGAAAAAAAACCCTGTAATTATCAGTGGAACACGTTTTATCGAGACATCGATGCCCGGAATTTCTCGACACACGCAAGTGATGGATTAAACGGGAGCTCTCCTCTCCGACAACCGTCGATTCAGGGGCGTAGCGTAGCTGTTTCCGCAGTTTCCTATTCGAATTCGAAAATTATCCTATTTCGAAAGTCGGGACGCAATTGCGGCCGCCGCACCGATCCCGGCAGCCACAGCCGGCGCACTCGTCCAGGCCCCGCCCCCACTGCTAAAGGGAGGTCCGTGTTCCGGGTGTTCGCGAGGTTTTTTTTCCACTGGGGGGTTACAAATGGCCACTGCTTCGTTACTGGGCACCAATTACCTGAACACTTTATCGCGGTAAGTGTCTTTAAATACGAAAATATATGCCTCGAATGAAGCTGTCACGCCAACAAAATCAAAATGAATGCTTTCACTGAAGTTAAAATAAAACCCCTGAAAAGCGCACATAGGCCCTAATAAGAGGCAGGGAGGGGTCTTGGTGGTCCAGGTACGCAAAACTACTTCCCAAGTGTTTAGCATGCGTTTCAAGAAAAAGCAAAACTACGAAATGCATCAAGGATTTGAACCTCCGTCTCACTACTATGAAGCCATCCACTTACCTGCTGCGCCATCGAGCCACGGCGGCAGCTGGGTCACGAGGGGTTTACGAGCGCAAAGCATGGGCAGGGGGTCGCACCGCAATGGTTAAGCACGGTAGCAAAAAAGGTCCGTAACTCTCCACCCAGAATCGTTTAGCAGATTTGGAAGTCAGATCTGATATCATCCGGAGACGCTCCTAGGAATATACATCTCATTCTGAATGGCCAGGACGAGTTGGTATCCTTCCCTTGTAAGCCTATTTGACCGCACTCGCCACAGCTCGGAAGTAATGCTCTACACTCATGGATTGATAGCTTAGTTGTATGAGGAAGTTGGACCTGGAAATGGTGGCTCCTCATGTTTGGGGGTCTCCATTTTCAGCTCTCCTGAGGTGCCTGTGGCATTCGTTCTCAGGTTAAGTTGTCGTTTCAGCAATCATGTGAACCTGGAAAGAAGAAGAAGACGAACATTCGCTGTTGACCCCACCATGTTCTCAGATCAGAACACCACCTGTTTATGCTGCCTACCCTCCTTATCCCTGTGACGGAGTAGGCGTGGCATTTGACCGTGGCTTAGAAGGGTTACTCGTGGGATATTCCAGCTTGAGACAACTGCCATCTTGTTCTGTGTTGGACAGAGACATGACCACAATTAGCGTCAAAATAAAAATATCTCTCCAGTAGCACAAACACCGCCACCTTTAATTGAATATTAGCCACGCCTTCCACATCTCAGGGATTTCGAGAGTAAGATGAGTTCTGCTGCTCAGCACTTCTGTCGTTTGTTCCCTCTTCTCTCTATATGTTGTAACATTTACATGTATTTTGGATAGCACCTCAGATTGTACGAAAGCAAATAAATATAGGACCTGTACAAAAGCAAATAAATATATGACTACCTGTTGCTCACCACATGTTGCTCACCAATTATACTTCATTCTTTCACCGAAGTGTGCCTAGAGTTAGGCGGACCAAAGAACTCGGTGAAACTGCACACTCATTTCTTCAATCAGAAGCATCCATGGAACGGAAATACGGCTACGTGCGATTGCTGGAAGAAATGCTCGCATCCCACATTCAGCCGCCGTCCTCCATCATGACGGAACACACCAAAAGGCCCAAACTCCAGCATCTTCATCTCCCCCACAGTGAACTCCTCGACTTGAGCCAGTCATCACTCACTTGAAATCGGACAACTGCTTGAATATGTCACAGCCTCGGTGAAACCAGTTTCTGTCACATCTCTTGGCAACACATGCCTTTGACACTTTTCGAAAGATAGAGGATCCAATTTTTTCGCAGAGCAGTCTGACCTTGGTGCTTTCAGAAAGCTGCTTTGCATCTTCGAATAACACATCCTTGATATCTTGAAAACCATTTTGACAAGTGTGTCCAATAAGGACGGCTCATTTAGGGCCTACAGAACATATTACACAAGATCAAGAAATAACAACAAAGATTTTATGAACACTGAGCATTCCGACGGCACTCACGGAGTGAGTTCGATAAGGAAACTACCATAATAAAAGCTAAGAATCGCAAAAGGCCCGGAGTGAAGGCATGCAAGAAATACGACATTTACAAAGAACCACGGGCTGCGAATAAAATAGCGCAGGCCAGAGGTATAGAAGAAGATCTGAGGTAGCAGTCTAACGCCCTGCTGTCTCTTCAAAAGGCAGCAGAGGTACATCTCGCATGTCTTTTCGAGGATACG